CAACTGAAGCATGAATACATACGATTTTGTCACTTAATATATGAATATTATTGGGTTTGTCTTAGATTAAAAAGTCTACCCTTGATGAGAAGCTTATTTCCAATGAAATTGATGCAGAAAAATTACTAGTAAGAATGAAGTGGGCAAGGGGGAAGGCAATCAGAAAGAAAATCATCATTCTCTCTATGAAAGGGCAGAATGGCTTCTGAAAATGTCTTGTTGTGCTCTGTACAGTACTGGAAAAAATGGAGAAAAATAAATGGAGTTTCTTGGATTCAAAGGTGAATCAAAAGGAATTGGCTTCTGCCCGGACAAGGCAGCCAGATAGGCCACAGTAACAGATCCACGTGATAAACCAAGAGGCAACTGCAGAGCTCCCCAGACAACTTGCCTGAAGTGCCTGCCAAGGAGGCAGATGCTGCTGCTGGAAGAATATCTTCCACAGTTGGGCATCTGGGTTCAGCGCTTTCCACGTAAGGGAGAGGAATGGTAGCATCAGGCTGGCCCCTGTCTTCCCATTTAATTATTTCAACATCCATTTTATACTTTTGTAAATAACATCTATTATCCTGCCTTTGTGCAGGAAAATAAGAAGCAAGGAGAGGGGTTTTGCCTGTAATATATCCCTTTGCAGGGGTGTCTACACGGATGACTCGAGCTTGGCTGCCCTGTGCTCCAGCCTGGTCAGATGTGAGACAGCTCGGGTCTGGGACTCACAGAGCTGCCTTGCAGTGGCACGGAGCTCAACCTAATAAGCAGAGCAGGCTGAGATTCATTAATTTAACATTAATAAGCACAGCTTATTAGCTCAGGCACAGCGCTGTATAATGCAGGCGCACAGCTTCTGGAGCAGAGCTGCATCTGCCCTCGCCAGCTCGGAGTGTGGTGCAGAAGACCCAGCCAGGGTGCTCCTCTCCCCTGCTGCATTTTGCATCAGGGAGGAAAGAGTATTCTGCGGTCACTGGAGAAGCTCCTGTGCGAACAAAAAAACCCTCCACATTTTTAGATTACGTCACTGGCTTGTGCTGAGTCTAAGTCATCTCAACTTCTTGTGCCTCGGTTTCCCTATGGGTGTATAATAGCTACCTCAAGATGCCTCTGTGAAAGCAGGTTAGGTACTGATCATAAAATACTGTGGGATCATTAAGGAGTGAAACGGTCCTTCTACCTCACTTGAATCATAGTTCTGTGAGTAAATTACTTGGTATAAATAATGATTTATCAAATAGGGAATGGCTGAGCTCAGCTCATGTTTGTTCAGAGAGGCAATACAAGGTTTCTGCGTCATTTGTGTCCTGCAAAATAGGATGAGAACAGTATCTGAGTTTCAGCTGGTACCTGCGATTAGCTCACTCTGTTTGGGAGGAAAATTCACTTGTAGATAAGCAACAGGAAAGAGGGGAGTCCTGGAGAACTGGGGCGCTGGTTTCACGAATGTATGAGACAGCAGTCTATGAGCTATATATAGTGAGCAAATATTCTCTAAATGTGTTCAGGTAGAGCAGGTTGTTTTCTGTAGCCCTTTGTTTGGGAAAATCTTTACTCATGTTGGCTTTTGTTGTTTCTTTCATGTGTAAAATATATTTGTTTGGTTTGCTCATCTTCAGGAAGAAGTATGAATAACCTAGTAGTAGTTGTGCTCAGTTATTTTCAGTATGAGTCCTAGTAAAACAATTTCTTATGGTATTAGACTGACAAGAGCTACATGATATGTCTGTTCAGTGCCGTATTTTGTCTCTTTTTCTTATGAGTAGAATAAATTTCATGCAAAGATGAACAGGAGACATTGAGGGGTTGGGTTTTTTTCCCATCAAATGCAAGAAACTTAAAAGAACAGGTACTGCAACCCCAAGCTTTGCTTTTAATCCACCTCCTTTGAGCTTCATGTGCTGCACTGTGACTTCTTGCAACTTCAGAGGGCTTGGTTTAAGAAAGATATATGGCACTGGTGTTAATCCCTGCTGCTAGGCCTTTCTTGCAGACTCTCTCATTGGCTGCGTTGTCTGGGTTTCTAAAGGAGGACCCTTCCAAAGTGCGTTTCACATTGTTATTTGTGCTTGATCTGGACCTAATCCTGCAGACTGGATCGCCACAGAACGAAACCGTAGCGCAGCCTCACTGCTGTCAGTGATTTAGGGTAAATGTGGCCTTTTGGGCGAAGGTTGGATTCTCATGGTGAGCTCCTGCATGTCAGTGAGATGTATGCTCCTGTGTGCTGTGCAGAAGTCACAGGCTTACATGGCCCCACGGCCCAGGTCTGCATAGCCCTGTTCTCCTATTTGTCTGATAGAGAGGAAAGAAAGGGGGAGGAGAAAGAAGGAATGCCACAGAAACAGCGTAACTGTGGTCCTTTAGCTTCTCTTGAAGCTCAGTTCAATGGTGGGTAAGAACAGCCATCTCCACCAGCAAATACAGGAACTGCAGTAATATGCCTCAAACCAAACTAGTTTACTTATTTTTTCAACTAACCAGAAAGTTTTGAATTTCCTGTGATTTATACCGAGCAAAACCTGTGGTTGAAGAGGGTGGCACAAGGTGCAAGTCAGCGGTGAGGCTGTCACGTCATGCACATTGGCACCCCTGTTCTGAAGAGTGTTCCTGAAAGCGATTCAATTCTATGCTTTTTAACCTCTGCAAAGTAGTCTTGTTTCCTAGTTAAATTTAAATTAAGTAAAAATAAGGCAAACACACACAGCCTATATTTACATGACATAAACATCATGTCATTGTGTAGAATGTATGTGTCTTTATCCTCATTACAGAGCCATGAGTTCTTATCCCTGTCTTTTGCACTGACAAGTTCAAGAGAACAAATCAGTTTTTATCTGTTGGTTTTAGTTTTCTTCCCCCAGTATCTATTCTACTGCTGCTTCTACATCAATGGAGCAAAGCTCATGGAAAAGCCTTATCCTTCCCTGAGGATGTGCTTGCATGGCAGAGAAGGTTGGCCTTCTTCAGAGAGACTCAGACGATTGCTCCCATAGTGCTCAGACCCTCAGATGGCTCAGACATCACATCTGCCTGCCTTCCATCACTCGGTGCTGCTGTATTGCATCGCTGTACCTCTAGCTTCGTCATGCTTTCTGCAGTGACACCTCAGTAAGAGCATGGGCTTATTTAGGTAGCACTATGTCTATAGAGTTGTAGTCAAGCCCAGTGTTGTGTACGTATACATTAAGAAGTATTAGTATTTTATAGGGAATATTTTAGTGTGGGTTTTTTTTTTCCTTTGATTTTCTTTTCTCCAAGAAACATCAGTCTTGGTCCAGTTTTGCCAGTTATCCTACACATACACAGCAGGAAACAATTGCTGTCCCAAACAGATTATGCTCTAAAAAGCCAAGGCAGACAAAGGCAGTATTATCATCATTTTGTAAACAAGGAACCAAGGCGCAGAGAGATTAAGTGATTTACCCAAGGTCACCCAGAACATCCGGTCAAAGCCAAGAGCTGAACCCATGTCTCCCGAGTCTCGATCAAGTGATTTAACTATGAGATCAAAGACTTATTGTGCATACCTGATAACTCTCCCCTAAGGCATGGTAACAAAACTTTTTTCAGGTTAGGATCAATGCCACATATGGTGCAGTAAATTTTGTATATGGCATATCTGTGCTGACAGCGTGTACCCACTTCTTGCACTCAGGTTCTTCCCAGGAAATAATTTCCCTTATTATTCTTCCATTGACAGTAATAAATTATCATCCTTCTCTAGATAACCGCTGAAGGAGAGAATGTGTGCACAGGGTACATCAGATGAATACATAGAAAACTATTTTTCTGCAAGGCCAAACTCAGTCATTTTATGGACTGTTTAAAGTCCTTCCATGCTGAATGAAATGGGGACATTCCCACAACTATATGGACTTCATTTTGCAGTTTCTGCTGGACGTTGCAAAACAAGATAAAGGATCTTAATCTCTTATGTATATGCCAGGAGAATGTAGCAGAAATGATCAGTATAAAGGCATCATTCATTATAAGTTCAGAGTAGTCTTTTTTTTTGAGTCTTTATCACTCACTTACTGGGGTCATTATATCATTCCAGAGACGGGGCCCTAGATCCTACTTAGTCCCTTCATTTTAAAGGTAGTTTGGCTGAAAAGTGACTGTACAAATGGCAGCGGTTAGGCCCAGCAGCAGGACAGTCATGAAGGAAGGAACAGGATCCTGCCCTTCGTGTGCCCCTGTCTTGAGGTATGCCACTTCTGCCCAGTCATTCTGCAAGTCACAGAGCTGCAGGTTGGTTTCTGAGCAATAGTCTGCATAAATTTTTGCTGTTAATGCCATGAAACATGAGAAGAAAACCCAAAGTGAACATGAGATCCTGGGCTGACTTTGTGGTCTGACGTCTTTTGCAAACGGAGCTCAGCGAGTGGGGAAACCACAGAGGAATGTTAAGGTGGAGCCTCACCGTGACTTTTTTCTCTTTCTGTGGTGTGTCAGCAACTTCAGGAGAGCAAAGGTGCACTTCTGAATTTCTCCTCAGTGTGTTTTAGATGTTCTGTGTGGTCACAAGCTTCCTCATGTGGTAGAAGAGCTTGTAATGTATTTTCTTGGGTGAGATTATTTCTATCATCACGTGCTTCAATAAAGGAATTTGGACGGCAGAGATCTCGATGGTGAAAATATGGTGATCGAGAGGTTCATTGCTGGAGAAAGTCAAACCAAATTGGACAAATGCAATACTGGAACGTGTTGCATTTGCCCAGTTCAGTGTATCTGTAGCATAGTACTCCTCATGTGTCTGCCTGAATCGAAGGAAAACAGAACTGACCTGTTTTCTAGTAAAGGCAAAACTGATGCTTTTGCTTAGATGTGCTGATTTCTTGAGCAGGAATAAGATATACGTAGATACCATAAATCATGCTTAGTTTTTCCACAGAACTGAATTATCTTTGGTATTTTGGATGACATTTCCAATAGGATTTGGACACCACACACCTATTCCTTTTAAAATTATCGATCTGTTAGTACCACAGTTCTACTTACTCTCTTAGATGTTCAAAAAGGATTTTCATTGTGTCATGGTTTGGTCTAGGGAGCTTTTTTACCAGGCTCCTTATGGATTTGATGCGAGTGGTGTTGTCCTGGATTTCTAAAGGGAGGAAAAAAAAAAAAGAGAGAGAAAATAACCACTTGAGTACCATGTTAGGACATTACTTTGCCCAGTACTGTGCCTGGTAGCTTGACAAGAAAAGCCATCATTGATATATGATTGAAAACAGAATATATCATACCTTCTTCCACCATAATAGAGAGCAAGAGTAATTTACAAGGATTAAAAATTCTCTTTTAATCTTAAAGGAACATTTTCTGGTTCACAGAATTATTTCCTTATGATTTTTATTTATTTTATTAGACTATTAGACCATCATCCTAAACTAAAGTACCTCCAAGTAGTAAGAGACCCACATCTTGAGTAGCACCCTGTCATGTTTGAAAATATAAAATGATTTGCTATTCTTTTTAGTCATGTTTATTCACTGATTTCGAGAAACTATTCCACTGTAGCTATTTTCTAATACCTGTAGCATCTCACAGCTGTATTTTCTGTAGGAAAGAATCTATATTTCAAACTTGTAATTACAAATAAAGAATGCAGTACTAAGTACTAATCTCTCTTTTGAGGTGATAAGAATATTGCTATGCTTTTTGTTAAGATATACCTTCTTGTTTTAGCATGATTCATAGCTTCACGGGAAAGGTTTGACTGATATTTTCATCGATTAGTATAAGATGTTGTAACTACAGCAAAGTCATGTGTAACTGTGCTTTCGTTTAGGAACAGATTAGATAAGGTGCCAGTAGGTCTGATGCAGGGAAAACATCGTGCATGTTACATGCCTTAGATAACCTGAGAATACTTTTCTGATCTTATCATCTATGATTTAATTATCACTTATTATCCGTTGTATATGTTTCTTTTTAGTATTCATATTACCCTAGCACCCAGAGATCTCAATCAGGATAGAATCCCAGTTGCAGTAGGTGCTGCCTACACAGACATGGTGATGAGTGCCTTGATTCAAAGATTTCATCAAAAAAAGTTTCCAGCAAAAAATTCCTGCAATACAACTGAATTTAAAAGTTAAAATTGCTAGGTTAATGTCCCTTCCTCAGCATGTATTCCTAATTCTGTTGAGACTAATACTTCGTACGCACAGATATAGATGTATATATCTATACTATTTGTAATTTAAACATTTATATAGATATGAAAGACAAGATCTCGAAGTCGTCAATGCATAGGTGTGATTATCCAGTAAAAAAACCCTAAGCTTTCATACGGATTTATTCTATAGGAAGTCATGCAACTGACAGTAGTCGTAATGAAGTTACACACGAATGAGGAACACCCTTTCTGTGTATCTCGCTCTTGTTCTGGTCTGACCTATACAGAACCTTAACCGCTGAACAGCACAAGCTCCCCCAGTCTTGCAACCCAGTCGTCCCTTGATGTTTTCTGCCACAAGCCTTTAGTACCGTTTATTTTTGTCCCACAGATGATCTGTCCAGTGGAAATATGTCTGAAGCTACAAGCGAAAACGATGTGAAATTTGCAGAAGTGGAGTACAAATTCTGTGGGCTTTTTACTTGCGCTGCTTGGTGTGCCTACGCGCTATGATCTTACCAGATAAGTTATATTTAGATTGGGGCTGCCCTGGCTGTACTGCAACCTCTCAAATAAAGCTCCTCAGCCAGTTTATTTTTTAATTCTCTTTTCTCCTGAGAGTTCAATGGACTTGAGTAGAACTGAAACACTGAGGTAGAGAAAGGCTCAATGGAAGGAAAGGTTCGCTCTTTGCCTGTTGTGAGGAAATGGCATACAGTAGAACTTTATCGTGCTCTCTTGAAGGAAGTGGCTCTGCTCTGTGTTGATCAACACAGATACCAGCTTGGTAACTATCTCCCCTACAGAAACATCTACATTACAGAGGCTGCGCTTCCTTATAAGGCATATTCGTAAGAGAAATAAACCAAAAAGAACAGTATTAATTTACAAAGAAATTATTTATTGAGAGAACGGCAAGGGTAGAAAGCTTTGGTTGAGGGCTTACTGTACCAAAGTCGTCAGTTCTGACATGTGGGAGAAGAGCTCTTTTGTCAGGCACTAAAGCACAAAACCTGTAGAAATTTTGCACAAAATTATTTTGTGAATCGGTCTATTTGTTAATTGTCGGCCTGTTGTAAAAGAAGAAGAAACAGGCAACACGTGGTAACTTTAGTCAGCATTTCTGAACTGGGAATGATAAACACCTCTGCCTGGCTCTGGCATTTATCAGTACTGAGATATTATTACCACATAGAGTCACAGCATGGTTACTGTTATCATCAAAAAAAAAGAGCCAGCTAATCTTAATGGTTTGTAAAGCCGTTACCTGCACTGGTCTGACATTTATCATGATCATTTTACCACATGAGTCCTACATTGCAAAGGTATTTTATCTGGAAGGGACATCACTATGAATTATTATTTGCAGCTAGGTAGAAAATTGTATGTTGTAGATACCTTTTCTCATTATAAATCACAGTCACATTTCACCATTTCCCACACAAAGCTGCTGAGCCCAGGCTTTTTGCCATCACACTTAGTCTCGCTCCCTTTTATAGTTCTATGAAAATATTGCTTACTCTTTCATTAAAATGGTTGATATTGGTGTTTTTTTAAATGCTATATACACGCTTGATTTTTCTCTAGTATAAAAGAATTTGTTTTTCCACTTGAGGAGCTGAAGAGGATAAACTGTTCATTTTTTTTGTTAAAGCTTGCTCTCGCTTCAGTTTTTGTGGCTGGGCTTGTCTTTACTCTTGACCTTGTTGATGGAATATTTAACAGATCAGATGCAAGATCTTATGTTTCATTTGCAATGGCTATGTATTTGCTTTATTTTGGTAAAGCCTTGAGTTCGACTTTCCTAGAAATTTTCCCCTTTCAGATTCCTAAGTAGAAATATTTTTTAAGGTTTTTTTTTGTTTTTTTTGGGTTTTTTTTTTTAAGTTTTCTCTTTACCATGCTCAAACGGAGGAGGAAATCCTTAAACATGGGTTTGCATAAATAGCTGTGGAGAAGGTATCCTCCTCCTTGTGCTGTATGATGAAGCCTGGCAGTACAGGGTACAAAGGAAGGAAAACACTCTAAGCAGCTGTTAAATTCTCTAGCTAAGTCTCGAAAATGAAGTAGACCAGTTTTGATGAAAGGAAATAATATTATTTTTCATTATATTTTGTTTATTGTGAAAATCTGGGAAAAAGATTCCCATTTTGGAAAGTTAGACTCTTTTTTCCCTGTGAGGATTTCT